TTACATTGGGAGATATAAGACTGATAAGTAAACAAACTACATTGAATTAATCATGCAGAAAGACACGTGACCTGGAAAACATTCGCACGTGTCTTTCTGCATGACTAATTCAATGTAGTTTGTTTACTTATCAGTCTTATATTTCCCAATGTAATTTCAAAAGTATATATCCGTGTATGTAGAGTATTCAGCTGACGAGTTCTACCGAAATTTGATGAATTCATTAAATTCTGCTTAATTAACCTTTATTGCTTGTTTTAAAGGTTTCTGTTATCAAGCTCTCCCTATACCCTGTGACATTAGATTTTAAAACTGTCATCCTATCCCATCCAGCCTATTGTATGGTTGTGTGTAACTGCATGTAGTGCTATAGCTGAACTACTCTCTAGATTTCTTATCTTATTTGGGTCAACCAATCTAGATTTAGCTAGGTTTTTATGTTCGGCTAGTCTGACTGCCCCTGTTCTACTAGTTTGACCTATGTATTTGACCTCACAATCATTGTAGGGTATTAGATAAACTAAATTGTTTTGTTTTAATGGCTCTACAGGATCCTTTAACCGACAAAGCTTGTTTCTAATTGAGTTTGTGGGTTTGAATGTCACTTTTGTTCCTGCCTTGTTAAGAATTCTGCATAAGGCTTCCGAGGTTCCTTCCTTGTATGGAATAACTGTTGATAATTTACATTCCTTATTGTTGGTGTCGTCATTAATATTATTATTATCACCACTATTATTATTACCATTATTATTATTGTTATCATTATTATTATTATCACTATCGCTATTATCATTATTTTAATTTCACATTTACTTACTTATTTCCTGACTAATTTATCCGGGTAATTATTAAGTTTCAAGGCTTCTTTTATGTGTATCACTTCCTGTCTTAGATTTTCCTTGGTGCTACTTAGTTTTTGTGCTCTGTCATTTAAACATTTCACTAATCCTATTTTTACTGACATAGGATGGGATGATCGGGAATCCAAATATCTGTTTGAGTGTGTGGGTTTTCTGTAAACACTAGTGTTTAGCTTCCCATCTTCTTTCCTTTTTACGTTGCAACCTAACATTGGAAGTTCCCCTTCCTGACTTTCCAATTCATAAGTGAATTGCCTCTACCTTCGAGCTGATGTGTTCGAAAAATCTATCTATATCTTGTGTTCTAAGTACAGTGAATGTATCATCTACATACCTCCACCATACTTTTGGGGTAAGAGTGAACGTTTCAATCGCTATCTTTTCCCACCTATCCATGAATATATCTGCTATTCAATATACAATACTGTTTCACTGTGTGATACATCTAATAAACAAACTAATATGGAATTACTTACTACCACAGTGCCCAAGTTTTACACATATATTAACAAAACCTGGGAGTACTGGACAGCTGTTTCGTCTTAGTTTGGGGCTTTCCATCGGTACGCACCCACCGCCAGGGTTCGAACCCAGGACCTTCTGGTTACAAGGCGAGCGAGGTCGTAGACCATTAAGCCACTGGGACCCGATCCAATGGTTCTTGAATTCTAACTTCTGCCAATTCACGACATAGCGCGACCATTTCGCAATGTCTTCAACGATGAGTTACTGCCTCATCTTCAACCTGCTGTACCTTACTGGTCACGGCTTCCCACTAGAACCCCAGGTTAACTGCCTGAATAGGGCCAGTCGCTAGTGAGTACCAGATTAGTTTTCAAGTATTGGTTTCGTAGGGATGTTTGTTTGATTGCATGGAGGATTTCATCATGAGCTGACATCAGTCAGAGAGCCACTGGAAAACCTGGAAGTGCTCTAACTGATATCAGCTCATGATGAAATCCTCCATGCAATCAAACAAAAATCCCTACAAAACCAATACTTGAAAATTAAAATTTTACGCACTAAGATGGAGAAAAAACAGGTCGTTTGCATTTTATACTACTGTTATTCAATTTAAGTAGGTAAGGACAAATTCTCTAACGTTCACAGTATTAGAACTATTTTCGGAATAAATCAGAAGGCAACCAAAGACGCACTCTTCAGTACATATAAAATTGTAGTGACAGTTATTAAAATACATGACAGTCTGTTATTGACTAATGGAGACAGATAACAAATTACGTAGAACCCAAGGAACGAATAATGCTAAAAATACACATCATTAACAGACTGGACTTCAGGTGAACATAGAGAAGACGAAAGTGACGAAGACACTGGTAGTGGGAGATCAGACTGTTGACAAATGATCCAATTGGTTTCATTGATTAGGATCATTTTGAACACCTGCTAATGTGTACCATGGGTGTACAATTCCAGTTTGACAACACTTTTTACCGACAAATAGATGATGTAGCTATGGGCAGTCCACTTCGCCCTGTTTTAGCAGATATCTTTATGTCAAACCTTGAGAAAACAAAGTTGAAGCATGCAATCAACCAAACAGCTTCCTATTGTAGACGACACATTTGTATTGTGCAACAACGAAAGTCATGCTTCCTAGCTACTCGGATTATTCAACGATACACATTCAAATATTTTACTATGAAACATGAAAATGATGGAAAGTTCCATTTCCTTGCCATGCAACGCCTAGAAGATCGCAGTCTCTAGAGGTCAATTTACCAAAAGTTGACATGGAATGGACAATACTCACATTTTAATACCTTTTGTCCAAATAGCTATAAACGACCACTAATTAAGACTCTGTACTATAGAGCGAGGAGAATATGCTCTGCAGAGAAACTCGAGGACGAATTTACGATTCTCGAAAAGATGTTGAAAAACAATGGTTATCCTCAACGATTCATTGACAAATATGAAAGATGTGAAGGCTCAAATATTAAACAAATCACAGTTGAAAAAGCCTATCCTCATTCAACTAGATTTTAAAGGTGAAAACACTGCAGCAATAGTCAAAAGAGGACTCAGTACGGCACTGGCCAGAGCCTATCCTGCAACTAAGTTGGTTCGCGTCCATCGGACAACATGCTCTTTGGTGCAGTCAAAAGTCGACAGATACCCTTCAAATGTTAACTCCAACTGTGTGTACAAATTTACGTGTTTCTGCGGGAGCAGTTACATTGGGAGAACAGAAAGAAGGGCACACCTACGATTTTCTGGACATGTGCCGAAAAGCCTACGTCTCAAGAGAACAAACTCGTATAATAGCTCTATTATCAGACATTTCCTCGATAAGGATCACGAGGTAGGTGGGAATCGCGAAATCCTTTAAAATTATCAATAGACAAAGGAGCTCGATTCTCCTCAAATTAGCCGAAGCAATTACTATCAAACGGTTGAAACCAGATTTATGTGCTCAGAAAGAAGTTAATAGTCTTTACCTTGCCCTGGCAACTGGATGCCCTCATTCTCTTATTTGATTGTGTAATCTTTGTGTTTAACATCACCCCCATTTTATAATTTGTATTTTTGCGTCTCTTGTTTCTGTGATTTGAGCTGAACTCAGTACATTGTTACTTAATTTATTAGTCACTCTGCATCTTACGCATCTCTTATCTTTATTGCGTAACTCCTTTACCGTTGTATGCATACATTTATTTTGCTTAAACTTGAACTGCCTGTGTAAAAACTATGTAAGCACAATTTTCTGAGCACTGTTCACTAATTATGGAACCTTCTGTCAACTGACACCATGAAAAATTTGAAAGTATGTTAAGACTTTTCTGTACATAAACTTCAAAATTTATTTAGGCTGTAAGCAATTGATGAGAAGCCAACGAAATAAATGATGGTACCATATTATTCTGCACAAACTACTGTTGCTCTTGCTTTATTCAAATGCAACATCACTTGACTTCCAATAATTGGTGTCATCCACTGAACACGAGAGAGAAGAAATTACCTACTGAGACTACTATACTATGCTGCATTGCCTAGTTTCTCACTATGCGAATATGAAGTGTAGTCATGAAAGCTAAAAAGTGTGAAAAGGCTTCAGGTGTATAAGGACTGAAACTTTCATGGAATCATCATTTAAGTAATCGAAGGTTGTTTGTACAGTACTGTGTATAAAATAGATGAAATAAAGTATAATTATATTCCACAATGCTCAAACTTTTTACTGACATTAATATAGGGCAGTTGATACAATTGCAACTCTCAACCGATAGATGGTATGTACCTTCCTCTCTTTAACGAATCTGGCATTCAGTGTAAACTATAGTGAGGCTGCATCACAAGAAAGCAAAGATGAAGTAGAGGAAGACACGACACTTCAGTTAATGAAATCCATAAACATGTCCTCTGACAGGAAAATTCCCTAAAGTCGATTGCGTCAATGCACATACATTTATAACTAGAGAAACTCACTCAATTGAAAACATTCAATTTCATGATCAAATATTTACCTAGATGTGTGTGATATTGGGTGACGAGTTCAAACGTCACACTTCCACCTACCGAAGTTTCAGGAACCAACTGGTACCTACGAGTATCTCATTGTAAAATGCGTGTGTTTAATGATTATTATTAGTGACAACCATACGTCAGACACACGCAAATCAAATGGTAACACAGTGAATACAATATCATGATATTAATAGGTTTTAGGTCATGTTACTAAAGGTTAACAACCACTCGTCAGACACTAATCGGATATCCCACAATACGTCGACACACAATGAATACGATTTGATGCCACTACAGTATACCTTTTTCTAACCATGTACTACGCCTACTTTAGCGATTGATTCAGAGGAATTGATATCACAGCTAGACAACAAGGATCACTAAACATTTGCATTATCCGAGTTGCAGACTCATAGCGAGTGCGCACTCATGGAATTGGGACAAACTGAGTACAGGATGATTAGATAATTGCGGTGAGGAGGTAAACACACAAATCATGGTTCGAAATCCAACCTCTGCTTATTCACTTCTAAACTTATCTATAACTGATGTCACTCTCATCAACCTTACGGATCAGTACTGGAAACTTGAATAAAAAATACATTATCTAGTCGAATGTGTTCCTCCACCTAGAAACGAAAAAGGCAACAGTTCCAAAACAAGGATTTTTTAGTATTTACATTATATAAATTGATGACAATTGTTTGTACAAAATAAATACATACGTAAGGTGCAATATACACATGAGTAGATTCACAGTATTGCTATAACAGTCGATTTTATGTTTCATATTATTATTAATATTAGTATTGCTATTATTACTAATATTAAGAGTCGACCATGTCAATATCACTCTCCAAACGTTCTTCTTTTATCTACAAAAACGAGAGAGAGAGTGAGAGAAGTACTGTGTCATAAAAAGGTAATTAAAAATGTCTATTGAAAACTTAAAGAACTGATTAGTGAACAAAAAACACTCTTCTCGCTAACTTCATCATCAACTTCTACAGCATGCATCAACATTGACCGATTAAAGAATTAGTGCTATCAGAGACATTTATGTTCTAAACTAACTTCTTAGTTTTATTTGCTCATGTAACAATGTGGTTCAAAAAAACAACGCATAGTAAAAACCGTCAACAATTCGATATTACGCCACCGTTCCAATATGCCATAAACGTAGTATTGGAGAGTCTTTTTCTATAATCTACTGAATAAATTGCCAAAAGCCTATAGATACTGAATACTCCAAAAGGCAGAGGCTACTGCAATGCACTTAAAGCAACCGAATCCCTGTGAGTGCAAAATAAACAGGTTCAGCCACTCTTGCTATGCTGGCCTCTTTTAGAACCTGTAAAATTTATAAATTCTCTATTATTTCTCTTATTTTATCTGAAACACAGTTTAATATTACATTTTTAGACGCATTATCGCTCACAGATACCTTTGAACTATAATCTAATGACATTGATTCAATGTTACTTAAAATCGTAATGTTGCTAATACCAATAGTTCTTAAATTACTATGGACGCATATAACCGTAGAAGCTGACGAAAAAGTTATCGAAACGATTGGTTGGAGGATATCATCATGAACTGACATCAGTTAGAGAACCATTAGAAAACCTCGGAGTAGTGGACAGCTGTTTCGTCTTAGTTTGGAGCTTTCCATCAGTACGCACCCACCGCCACGGTTCGAACCCAGGACCCTCTAGTTACAAGGCGAGCTCGTAGACCATTAAGCCACTGGGACCCGACCAAATGCCCCATGAATATTCTTTGTTCACTGATCAGTCTTTGAAAAAAGAACAAATACATCTCAGTGACAGAGTTATACATCAAGACAAGATGTACATTATATTTGTTCTCTGAAGCAGCATTCCATACTATTCAGTTACTTCGCCTTCTGTATACAATAAGCAATATCCCATACTACGTAGTAACTTTTCCCCTGGCAAGAAATAAGAATCAATGTACCGGACAAAATGAATGTCTTGAATGCAGAGAGAAATATAAATTTTATTGAAGTCATGCATCTGGTAATGATGTACTCATTTAGAATCTCTAACGGAGTTATGGTAGGTCGGTGGTTCAGCGATGGAACGCTTATCAATCACACTAGATGTGGTTCAGAGGTTGATTCCCGATGAATGCACTACTAAACATTTATGAGTCGATAGTAAGTTCGATAAAGTGGGAAAGTTGAGTGAGAGGCTAGCAACTCCACCACGTGAAGAAAGCATCACCTCTACTGAGATTTCAAAGAGCCAACTTCAAGCCCTCTGTCCCATTCGGAACTCAGGGGAATAATTGTAATAATATAAAGATACAAAAACCCACTTTAACAAGTGGGCTAATTCACTGACTCAGTCAGTCAATCATATTTATTACTACTTACTCACCTTTCCCTTATAAGCTTTTTTTAATAAACTATAATCGTCAAGTAATTCATTGATATCACTTTCATTATTCTCATTTTCCCTTTTAACAACAACATCAGTTTTATTCACCTCACTGTTGACTAGTAAACTTTGTTTCTTCAATGATTTCATCTTGCGTGTTTTCTTTTTCTTGGCAATCCAGGCTTTGTTCTTCTCCTTTTTGATAAGCTGTGGTATAAGAAGTTAACATGTGATGAAAAGTGTGCGGAGATGAAGAGGAACAGCAGCAGCAACAACAACAACAAAGGAAATAGCACAAACGAATACAAATGCATCTGATCCAGAAAATATCACTGGTCAGAACAGCCTTCTTCCCGTTGGCAAATATAAAAACAACTTCCGCTACATGATGTTTTCATTTTTGACAATAATACAGAAAATATGCAGCTGAGGTGGAAGATCTGCATTTGGTTGTGTTCTCTGAGCTGTTTAATTTAATTGCGAAGCTCCCATCATCGATGTAGATAGCATCTGCAGCACAAGCTTCATTATGAAGTCAACTTATTTGATGAATACCCCATAAGAATGATATAATTGTATCTCCTGATAACTTTCATCGCAATTGTTTGTTAATTTCTACCAGTAGTGACTTAGGATTTGACTTTTTTGTCATAAGGGCTTATTCTCTATTAGTTGGTAAATTTGATCCATAGTAGTGTGTCTGTTAATCACTGAATCATCTAAGCATAAAATTTGTAGAAATTCTCAAGAACAAAAATTAGCTGTGAAAAGAGGCTACATGTATTCTTTCATATCGACACCTGTGGACAATTACAGAAACCAGTTTCATTTGGGAAAATACAGTAATTTTAAACAGTGAAAACACAAAAAGTGCTAAGGAACTCCTAGAAGCCTGGTATTCAGATGAAGCAGTGATTAACAAACACTATAATAGATCAAATTTACCAATTATTAAGGGATAAACTATACGACAAAAAAGTTCAAACTCTAAGTCAACAAAAGTAACCAGTCGAGATGTACATTAACAAGCAATCAAGACTACGTTTGTGCTGAAGATATTGTCAAGAAGGATAGGGAAAGTTTAAGAATTAAATCAAGCAGCTCAGAGATCATAACCAAATCAAAATATTCAAAAATGTATACAAAACAGAATTCATATGATGTATATGTTTGAACTGGTTGACTGGATAAATTCGTGTTGAGGCATTTGATTTTTTTTCATTTCTTGTGTTCCAGGTAGAGCTCTGAAGTCTCAGTAACGGTATATTATAGTGGTTAACGAGGTGGTGTTGCTAGCCAGACACCTAACTCTCCTTCTTTTTCAGGATCACTAACAGCTAGTAAACTAGACGAGGTTTCAGAGTGCGTCAGCTGGGAGTCGAATTCAAACCTCCCACGTAACTGGAGAGCATTCTAGCACTGACCTGCTTGATACGACTATGAAGTCAGCTAAAAAAAACTGACCGACAATGTCTTAAACATCTTAATTACAGCAAAAGGTTCTGCACTTTTTCACAAAGTTCTGCTTTGAAAATTCAGTTCGATTCAGCAAAATCTAAAGCGTTAATGAACACAAACACAATAGATTTCTACGCACAAAGGTGATAGGAAGCGGGGAAATAGTAATCAGTATTTTAAACCACGGGTTACAGAATTTATCTGATGATCGGATAAGTGAAAAATCTCACCAACTTATTCTTACCTTGGCCCTGGGCCAATCGAAAACCAATCAGAATATTTCTTTCCCATGAACCTAACCGAATCGCCTATTAGTCAGATGGATCTATTTTTCACTGTCTAAGTGAAATTTTCACGTGGTTGGAGATACACATATATGATGCGCTTTTTTCCTAAGAAAGCTGTATTCTAACCAGTCACAGGCCAGTCTCTGTCTTTTAATATTTCCGCCGCTAAATGTGGCAGAAGGTACCAAGGACCAATAGCCGTATCTGGCATATCAGTTGACTTATCCTTGCGTACAGAGTTATTATACCCACGAATAAGTCCACTCGGTCATATCAACTGTCGATTTAGATCATAACAATGTGGCAACAGGTTCATAACAAGAAGACACATTACTTGAAAACGACTGAGAACTCTTCATTAGGATATAAAAATGTGCGGGACTTTACTGCTTACCAATATCTGTGAGGTGATATCAGTTTTCAACGTATAACACTGCATAAAACTTCAGCAGTTCAAGTTACCCAAACCGCATAAACACGCCATACATTGAGGTAGAGTGAAAAGAAATGCGAGAGAGTACGACAAACGAAAATTTGCGGAAGAGAAAATAATCACATGAAAAATAATGAAGATTTTGTGAATATAAGATAGTACAAGGAATGAATACATCTGTGACATCGAGAAAGGTTTTGAGTCATATCACCAACAACCACCACCAATTGTTCGTTAAAGTCTCGAGAACTCCAGACAGACGACTTACACCTCCCTATGTATCTCAAACCAACAATAAAAGACTTCATCATAGATAAATATTGCGTTTCCTGGTAATCGCGAAGACTCTTTCAAACTAATTATGCATCAGTTGGCATTGCTCGGCAAGGAAAGCAATGGTTCGGCGTATGTAACAACATAAATCAATCAATGCAGCTTCACAACCTAATCGACCAACTTTCCTTTCTTAACTAAAACACTCCACTTATTACAATCTAACATGCTGACAACTAGGGTCAAAGACTGCTAGTATTTTCATATCTTCATATCACTTCCAGAGGAAATGTCTGACGTCCATAAAGAAAAATGAAGTGAATTGCTGAACAACACATAGCATTCGATGGACAATCTCATGTATACATACATATAGATATTTTGGAACAAAATACACCGAAATGTTCTGTATTATATGTTCAAATATTGTCTGAAATAAAGCTTTATTACACTATTATTATTATTATGATTATTAAAGGTCTGGACTCGATCACCTTTCAGATGGATGTTAGTGATAACATTTGTGACAGTAGTACATGTCATTAATTGACTCAGCAACTCGATTTTCAGCCGCAGCGTCCTTAGTTCAATCTGTGTTTTGCCTACTTCAACCTAGGCAACTGGGTAGTCTTATTAGTCTTTACACAACATATGTGGCTTAGTAGCCTGCTACATGAAAACCCTTTCCAGATGGCTAAGTCCCAGCTAGTGACTCTTGTTACACCAACAAAATCATATTGACCAAACACCGTTGGGCGTTTGGTCAATATTTGTACACGTTAGAGACTGCTCGTCTGTTTTATACAGCTCATTGATTTAACAGGGAAGACTTTGAAACAGTAAGATAATATCAGTGATTATTACACAATAGATTTAGTTCATTCAATAAATACACATGTATAGGAGGGGGTTGAGCTGAACAATGCAGAAATATATTCACAAGGGAGATGATAAGAATAAGGAGTACAAACTTTATTTAGAAATAGTCAGCAGACATCAAAGTCATATATATATAAACACAAACGAAACCACAGATACATACACAAATACCTACCCATTTAGGTTTAATCCGTTTAGATGCCTCCGAAGATTGCATTAATTCACGTTGCTTAGCAACACTTTTATCACTGAAAATTAGGAGAAATAATGGGAGAATAAAGTTAATAGACATTGTGTTTTATTGACGCAGAAAAAAAAACTTTTTCAACTACTTTATATCACTACAAAAAAGAAGCACAAAATAAGTGCAGAAAATCAATAAACACTAAACACAGCACCAACAGCAGTTTACACTCCACCATATATGACACAGAATTCAGCTCAAGGCCAATGAATCTTCTGAACAGCAGATTAACAAGAAGTTCATGAGACGAATAAAACTTGTGCACTCTGGCAGAGTGTAATTCCTTTATGGGTGAATTTTGTTTTAATAAAGTCTCATAGTGTTAAACAGTAATATTTACTGGTAACGTTTCGAGCACAATTTATTGCTCACCATCATATCAAGGTAATCACACGACTTCCTAACTTGATTTATATAGCTCCATTGTTTCCCACTTGATTTGATTGGTAATAGTATTTTCCATATTTCAGCAAATATATAGACAAACAGAAGGTGTAGCAATGGGATCACCAATATCCCCTATCGTAGCAGACATATTTATGGACAGCTAGGAAAATATGACTCTTAACACAACTTCCAATCCTACTCCAAAAATATGGTGGAGATATGTGGATGACACTTTCACAATGTTAAAAACAGAACATATCTCTAACGTCTTGACACATATTAACTCACTAGTGGAGGGAATAAAATTCACATTTGAAGCGGAAAATGAACAAGTAGATTTAGCTATGTTAGATTGTAAAATAAAACGAATAGAAGAAGGCAAACTACACACTAGTGTTTATAGAAAACCAACTCATTCTAATAGATATTTAGAATAGATATTCATCTCATCCGTTCTCTGTTAAGGCAGGCTGAGTTAAGTGTTTAACAAACCGAGCAGTAGCACTAAGTAGCACAAGAAAAGACCTAAATGATGAAATAAAACAGATAGAAGAGGCTTTGGTGTTAAATAACTAACTATCCTATAAAATTCATTAGGAAAATCGAAAAAGGCCAAAATAAAAATAATTGTGAAACTAGTAATAATAACATAAATAAGAGAGAATATAAGTCATCTACAGTTATACCATATAAAGAAGGGACATCTGAGAACCTACGTGGGATTCTAAATAAAGCAGGAATTAGGGCGACATTTAAACCTACAAACACACTCAGGGACAAGCTCTGTGGGTTAAAAGACCCAGGTGACCCAATTAGACAAACGTCATCAGTAAATATTACTGTATAACACTGTGAGACTCGATCAAAACAAAATTTACGTACAATGGAATTCATAAGATGAAGTTTATTTGTGTGTATTTTTTGACTTATCTAATATTTAACCTACCATCGTACAATGTCAGCTAAAACTAACTTTTCTTAGTCAAAACTAGGCAGATTTCACTAACTACAGCTCTGAATTCATAAACTATGAAGTACTGATCGGTAAATTGCATTAAAGTTTTTTGCAGAAAATGAATAGTTTCAAGGTAGATTACATTAAAAATCAACATCAGTTAGCTAATGCCTTTAATCTATATAGATCTTCTGGCTGATGCTTACTAGTGACGAAAAAACTCTCTGAAGTCTATGTACATCCTTCCTATCATTATCATCATTGCTATTCACTCCTTGAACTCTGTGTGGAACATACAGCTTCAGAGGAACATTCCTATTGCAATCAGTTTCCTAACATCAATTTCAACTGGCTCCACAACTGCCAAATAGTTTTCATTTTGTCTTCACTCTTCGACTCCCCCACCTAATAAGAACTTTTCCCTGTTATTTGTTAATTTAATGAAGGAAAACAAAGTTGAGAAGTAAAGCGGTAACCACATACCGATACGTCAATGTTGACACATCAACGTTTGAAGGACTGAATGCACTAGTATTACCAGTTCGTAGCTCTGGCATAGAAGGAAGCTGTAATAACCCAAAACCATTGGCTAATCGACCAAAATCTAATTCTGAACACAAAAGTAGGAAAAATAAACTACGAGTATTAACAACAGAACAACAATATTGTGTATGGATTTATAAACCAAACAGTACCAACCATGTGTGAAGTCTTTTATTACCGGCTGAAACCATTCTAGTGATTGCAGCCCTGAATTCTGCGACATAACAGCTGATGGTTAACGACATGCTTCTGTGATGACAAAAATCCCCAGAATTCTTTAAATCCCATGTAGGTCATCATTATGATAGCCAACTAAGATATCTGAGGTGACCAGTAACTAAGGGACACTACCAGAGGTGGTTGAATTGCGTCATACAGTGGTCACGAGTAATTCGACTAGACGACAATATTAGTTCATAGAAAAGATACTATTTCATTGACTACTTGCATTTCTAACCACCAATCTTCATTTGAACTATTCAGGAAAACAGAAAGGATGGTATTTCTGAAAATGACTACACATAACACAACAAACGGAACGGATATTTGACTGCGTATATCTGTTGCTTTCAGGCAACCCCATGTATGACAGACAATACACAGCAGATTACGCAATATGTGCTGTGTAAGAAAGTGAAAGATAACCGGGATGGCCAGAATCGACTGAATATTCTAACTATTCATTCGCTTAAACCATAACTATTTTGCTTCATGAAAATCATTTAATTTCTCTGCTCACTTTCTCTCAATGAACTACATCATAAGTAGTATACTGTGGTGGGTAACACTGATGTTAGGCGTAGAGAACTGGGTAAAAAGGGCAAGTCAATCGATCAAGTTGTGAAGCTACATCGATTGAGATGGCTAGAATACTTATTGCGCGTACTAACTAATCGTCTTCCTCGTTGGACATACAATTAGGTAGGAAAAGGGTTAGAGATGGTCAAACCAAGACGTCTCATCAGCCCATGAAGTCTCTGACAGTTTACGACAGACGTTTAGGGGACTGCAGACTGCCTGTTTGGCGCCCTCGGGATTCTAAGAACCAATGGAGGGGGACTAGTGGCGACATGGCTCAAAACCGTCAAGAATAACGCAAACGCATTCACTCTTTGTGCCCTCCTACATCTATTGTAAAATCATGTTTTTCCATGCTACCGCTGTTTCGCACATTTCTGATGATCATAATTCTTCTCAGACTCTTTTTTTCCCTCTTTTGTCTTACTTTGTGTGCTACATGAAGTATGGCGAATTGAACTGCTGCACTTCTGTGCAAAGTGCTATGTTGACACTGAGTCACTCGGTCAAACATATACCAAATTAAAGTGCTCCGATCGACAGCTGCAACCTTGACGTCGTGGTCGGGCGTGCATACCGCAATGACCCAACAAGCAACACTGCCTGGAACTATTGCTCCTGGAGGTCCAACCATACCATGAAGGTTGTTAGGATAACGACTAAACTAAAGGCAGTTACCGGCTTAATGTAAGAATTTTTTACACTATGCTAGGGGTCTGTGGGTAAAGTCGTAGTGTAACAACAGAAGACAAGGACCGGCAACAGATCACTTTATTGCGGAAATCAGCACGTATTTATATATATTTCATGTACATTATTATAGCTTATTCAAGTGGACAAACGCAGGCTTCTGATTGGTTGTTTCGGGTAACATCGAAAAGTGGAGCCATCTATCTGCGAATCATATTTGCCCACGTTAAGTTTGCTGTGATTGGCTGTTGAATCAGCCTTGTTCATATTTTCTCACGGCCAATATTAGTGACCTAGACATTGACGTAGATTAATGTCTACCAATTGGCTAGCAACCTGCTCTCACCACAGTACTGCTGGGGAACAGGGATGTAACAGCAGTGAGGTGTTTCCCTCAGATGACCAGCATGCCAGCTGTGCTGTCTCTCCACTCTGAAGAGAGGGGGTTAGAAAAGGTCAACCCCAACAATTGTACATCCCGACTTACCCTACAGTGGTCCGCAACCGGCGGTAAGTTTACTAATACGGAACCAATACAAGAAACCAGTTCATACAGGCCGTGTGCGACCAGCCTCAAGCAGTTGTCCCCTGGGCTCTGCGGTCACGCAACACTAGCCCTCTTTCTGTTTCAGGTACCCGAAGAATCAATCAACTTCCACGGTGTGGGCAGCAGGGAAGTAACAACCACCCACCCATTTCCAAAAGCACACTAAGCTTTCCTGAGCATCATTCTTCTTTACCCACATCACCTTCATCATCTTACTTTCCTACTACAGTCGGTACTATTCTCCAGGCTTGTGAGTCATCTTCGCTTCACTCCAGTGACCACAAACAACGATGAGAGCCACAGAAACAACCGCGACAGCCTTTTAAAGCTACGTCGCCAACTTCATATAGGAGCATTTAACTTCAGGACCCTCTGCCAAATCGGACAACAGGCATCACTAGCAAGAACTCTGGCATCTAGAGCCACGAACGTATGTAGTGTTTCGGAGACACGTATACAAGACCCGAGTGTGGTAATTCACTTAACCTCATCCGGCCAACAAGGTGAATCTGTAAAATTCACTTTGAGGATGTCAGGAGACCCCTCAGCTAGTTCGCCAGGACTCGCGGGTGTAGGGATAGCATTGAGTGTTAGGGCAGAAAAAACAATTCTTGACTGGATCCCAATCGACAGTTGTATATGTGCAGTCCGTTAGAAGAATGAAGGACGGCGTTACCCGTCGTTGTCCTTTCGTAGTTTCCCCTTACGCCCCAACAGACTGCAGTTCGGATGAACCTGAAACTGCCTAATTTGCTGCAAAAAGCAAAATGTTCAGATATAGTTGTTTTAGCAGGCGACTTCAATGCCCAAGTAGGGAAGTTGTGCCAGACTGAGAAGTATGTGGGTGATATGTATGGAGTTTCCTGCCGACGAACCGACAACGGTGATCGTCTCTTACAGTTTTGCTGAGATAATCATTTGTTCCTAGGCAACACTAACTTTAGGCACAAAAAGAGACATTGTGTAACCTGGCGACCTCCATCACCAAGTCATTGTTGGACTCAAATAGACCAAATAGCGATAGGGTATTGTTGGCGAGGATCAGTAGAAGACTACCTCTTCTTCTGGAACACGTGCGTAGACTCTGATCACGCCCTGGTTCGCGTGCGTTTATGCTTACGATTAGACGGAAGAAAAAATTGTTTACAGCGAGGCAGTTACGTCTCCAACTATATCGAGACTCTGAATCCCTACTTCGGGAAGGAGCCACTGGATTTCTACCACCTCATCCTAACTCATCAACGCAAGAAGATTGATTCCGGAGAGCTCCGATTATGATGAAGTGCGAAAGCTACTCAAACGCGAACTAACAAGAAGCCTTAGTAAGGACCAAGAACAGCGGTGAGCGAAAAAAGCAGAGATGGAAAAGGCATCGGCGATTGGTAACGCCAGGCAACTATTTAGACTTATGAGAGAAACACGTGGTAAGAGGCAAATGATAAGTGAAACAATCTCGGAGAAAAATGGCACCATAATTAGCTACCAGGATAGACGACTGGAACGTTGGAAAGAACACTTTGAAGAGCAGTTTAATTGGCCTACAGTCACACTCAACTTACCGAACATCCGACACCTGCTTGAATGGGATATAGACACACGTCCACCGTCCCTAAGTGAGGTTACTAAGGCTGTCACTAGTCTGAAACGGGGCAAAGCAACAGGACCAGATGGAATGACTCCAGAGGTATTTAAGCACGGTGGAGACAGTTTACTGTCTGCGTTAACTGAGGTACTAGGCAGCGTCTGGAAATCAGAAGAAGTCCTGTCGGGTTGGTGGAAGTCATTGATTATCCCGATATACAAGAAGAGAGACAAGTCTTCATGTGATAATCTCAGGGGGATTAGCTTGACTAAGATGGTATCCAAAGTTTTACACTCAATAATAATGCGTAGACTAAGTGGTGCTCGGGAGGCACAAACACGAGAGAGCCAGGCAGGCTTTAGACCTGGAAGAGGGTGTATTGATCATACCTTCACCCTCCGACAGATTCTTGAACATAGGGATTCCTACCGGCGCCCAACAGTCATTATTTCTTGACCTAAAGGCGGCATTCGACTCTGTCGACCGAGAAGTTCTCTGGAGATGCTTGGCTGTAAAGGGAAACCCAAGAAAATATATTGCACTGATCAAGGCACTCTACTCGAACTCATGCAGTCAGGTGAGGGCTTACGGCGAGTTGTCATCTGAAGTGGCGACAACTGGTGGCATCTGTCAGGGATGCCCACTATCCCCACCTCTGTTCAATTTCATAATAGACGTACTAATGGAATTAACCCTAAGGGACTTCAGCGACTCAGGGAATAACTTATTACCAGGGTATAATCTCGTTGACTCAGAAGAGATGCAGATGATATAATCCTTCTAAGTTAAGACGCTGACAAAATGCAGAGTCTTCTGAACACCTAGAGCTGCAATCTGCGAATGTTCAGCATGCGATTCGCTCCCGTCAAATGTAAGATGATGCTACAGGACTGGAATAGACTGCCTCTTAGTTTAGAAATAGGGAGTGAAATGGCAAAGCGTATTGACCACTTCACTTATTTTGGAAGTTGCATCAACCTCAACGGGTTGATTGCTGACGAAATCTCAGTGCCGATACAGAAAGCTAGGTTTGCCTATGCCAGTTTATGCCATCTCTGGTGTAGGCGTGATATCCGGCTATCGACAAAAGTACGTGTGCACTGCTTAGCAGTCCGCTCCGTCCTCCCTTATGGTTAGCTGTTAGACCTGGCCATTGAGAGTGGGAGACATGAAAAGGCTAGCTGTCTTTGATCATAGGTGCCTGCATTCTATCTCCCGTGTTAGGTAGTATAATAAGGTGAGCAATATTGAGGTTAGGCATCGGTCGAGTGCTGGGTAAGGAGGGAAAATCAACCGATTGGGTTGTGAAACTATATCGATTGAGATGGTTGGGACAACCATCGCCTTCCTCGACGGGCAATGTTAGCTGACAGACATACGGCCAGGTTGGAAAAGAGAGAGTAATGGTCAAACTAAAACATAACTTCATCAGTCAATGAAATCCACAACAGTTAGTCTAAGCAGTGTAAGAAGATGCAGACTTCCTGGTTGGGGTCATCGGGGCGGTAAATATCAGTGACTGGAGACAATAGGTGATATACATCAACAAAATCGTTCTCAATGGCGCAGATGCATCCACTCTTTGTGACTTATAATTTCCAATAAAAATTTATTATTCTCCAATATTACTGTTCCTTTTGCCTCATATCTGTGTTTACTGACTTTATTTCGCACTTCTTTTTACTTTCTTCTCTGGCTTTGTGTGCTGAGTGAGGTGTGGCGACTCGAACTGATGCACATCGGTGCAAAGTTCCAGGTTGAAACAAGTCAATCAGTCAGTACATCAAAGTACAGAGAATTAAACCGAATGTCTTGTGTAAGAATCAATATTTTTTCATACTAATGTGTCTGTTGGGTATATATCATACAATGAAACATTATTATATATTGGATGAGGTTCCAAGTATAAAAATACTGTTCATTATCATTATCAATTGTAACTACACACAACTTTAAAAGGTGGTTTCAATAGTCCACATTCTTTCCTTCCATTTATCTCACAGGATTATGAACAACAAATTGTGTTCAGAGCTTTATCCAATAAATAATACTGCTTCACTGTGTGATATATCCAATAAACAAATTAATATGGGACAACACACTACCACAGTAGCCAAGTTTTACACACATGTTACTGATTTATACTGTTGATCTGTTAACCTGCCTATAAAACCAATGAAAACCAGGTGGTGAGTTGGTGGCCCGACGGTAAAATGCTCGCCAACCACGCACATAGTTCGGGGTTCGACCCTCAATCGACGCACTTCTAATCCTCACCTAGCCAGTAGTTGGCTAGATAAAGAGGAAACACTGGGTGTGGGGCTAGAAAAACCCACTCACGCTGAATAAATGGTCTTGTTGTCGTTCAATTTCATACTACTGAGAATTATATTAACTTAAAAATAATGCTTATTCAGTACAACAAACACATTAATCAACTTCTCATACACACATGATTTTGATCGATAATACATATAACTCAATCACTGACTATATCAGATGATTAGATGATTGTGACACATACTGTCTACTGTCCACTGAAGAGTAGGACGGCAGAATTACTAAAAGACACAGAAACAGCAATCAGATTCCAGTTAAGTTGAGATAATAAAATAGTAAAGACCAGATTAGAAATCTGAAAATGTTTGTCTAAACATCTACGAGAGCCGTCAAAGTAGCGGAAGTCACTTTTACTGATTATCCCTAGTTCAGATCTGTATAGTTATCAAAACTCTTAAATAAGGGTGAATCACTTGACGGTGTCTTTTATTGTTCAGCATACTTTTCCAGCTGAAGTCCACTTTTAGTAGTGAACTGCTACATTAAATGTAATATAAGCTTCAAGAACATACTCTTCAGTGTACAAACTATGCTTCATATACATGCATACGGATACTACTTACTTTTATAATTAAGTAGTATATTGCATTCATGTTTTCGGTAAAATTGTACATATGATACAAATGCACGTGTAGCTTTCTCAAACAACAACCTTTTAAAAAGAAAGGAAAGAATTAATCATATTTCCATGAATCATATTCAGCTATGCAAGTGTTAATAAAAACAATTGTGAAAACCTGTAATTATACGTCTACCAAATGACTACAATCCAATTTCACACGGCAGCGAGTAGATAACAACCATTCCGTTCACTTCTATTTATATATTTGTAGTGTACAACAGTTTATGCTAGATTTCTCAATGAAGCAGGTGGTGAAATTGCCTGAGATAGTCAAATAGATTGGGAAGCCGAACAATAAAACACGCATGCTTTAGTCGCAACTAAAAGATGTCACTCATCGTTGAAGACTAATGTTTACTTCAGGTACACACAGAGACGTGTAGACGGTCCGCCTGGGTCCCACTGGATGCTCAGAAGCAATGATTTAAGACATTTGAAATGATAAAATTTTGTGAAGAGTTCCATGTTGATTGAGTTTAGTTCACTTCATAAACACTTACACTATTATTATTATTTCCTTTATTTCCTAGAGGAACATAGGGCTTCAGCCGCGCGTCTCCATTGCCTTCGGTTCTCTGCTAGGGTTTTCACCCCACTCCAAGTCTGTCGACATGCGTTCATCTCCTCTTTACATGACCTCCTCCAAGTCACCCTTGGACGACAAACTCACAGCTTCCCTTTTGGGTTCCACTCGACGGCTTGTCTAGTGATGTCACTTGATGGTTTCCCCAGAATATAGCCAGCCAATCCATCTCCATTTCTCCCTGCCTATTTGTTGCACAGTCGGTTCCTCGTTGGTTCTCTCATCGCCAGAGATTCCTCCTTTGGGCTGATCTTTTCTGGTCATCTGATCTTGAGCGAAGACAGCTGTTGACGAAGGTCTGTAGTTTGTTCGAAGTGCCCCTTGTGACGCGCCAAGTCTCTGATCCGTATAGTAAATAGCACTGACTTCACATCAGAGTTGAAAATCCGGACCTTATTTTCCGTGCTGAGTACTGTCGACGTCCACACAGACTTGAAACTAATGAAAGCCTGCCTTGCTTTTCTGATTCTGGCTTTGATATCCCCGTCAGTTCAGCCTGTAGTTGAAACGATGCTTCCCAGGTAGGTAAAGGAGGTTGTTTCTTTCAGGTTCCTCATATTTAAGCTGTTTGTTGTCTGTTGTTGTTGTTGCTGATGATGTTGGTCAGGAATCTTCGTCACCTCGACCTTGACGCGCTTTTTGATTACTGCGCTGCATTTACTTAGTTACATAAAACTCTTGTTTCTGTGGTATTTCTTCCCATGAAGTTGTAGAAATTATTGTAATTATTTGCCTTTCGAACAGTGAATCTGTGGATATAATCTTGTTGACCGATAATACCTATGACTATCTGCTTGCAATTTTGTGACTGTCTAACACTAACTAATATCTATAACTGTATATATTGATGGATTTACATGCCCAAGTTGGCTCAAGTCAGTGAGTCTATGATTTTGGTATCATTTTTGTTAACTGTATCTGACTGTGATACTACTGCTAAAGTTATTTTTATTGTTGTTGTCGTTTGTTGCCCTTCCTGTTGTGAATTATTTTCCTTTTGCTGGTGTTGTTCTGATTGCTTTATTCCTTGTTTTCCTGGTTTTAAGGGGAGCAACCCACAACGTCGCTTCTCTGTAAACTATATTTTAATGTAACAACCCCCCTTCTCAAGCTGGAGGCCAGCACCCCCACCCTGTAAACAAAGTTGCTACAGATAATTACACAACACAGCTCCAAATCTGATTTTTTTTGCCACTGGATAGAAAAACTAGTTGACCCAGTCATTCACTATTCAAGGAAAAAAGCCATCAGCATATTCGAGAGAAAGAAACAAGAGGTTCAGCAAAGACCTCTTTTCAGAGACTTAGTCCTTAAAAGATGTACAACCAAACAATCACCAACAAAACAATGAAAGAAACAGCAAAGGTAGTTAGAAAAATGAAAGACGTAATTGGTAAGTCAAAATGGTTTGAAATTATGCCAAAATCTTGTAATGTACCTAGGATATATGGCAAGATAAAATTGTATAAAGAGGGATATCTAATAAGACCGATTGTAGACTTCAGAAACACACCAACGTATATGCTATCCAGATTTCTGTCGACAATACTAAGACCGACAAGAGAAAACTCAAAAGCTAGAATAGTAGATTCATTTGAATTAGTGAGGCGAATAAAAACCACTAAAATACAGGAAGAAGAAATACTGGTCAGCTTTGATGTAAACAGTCTCTATCAATCGACGAAGTCGTGAAGTTACAAAGACTGAGATGGTTAGGACATGTCTTACGTATGCCAAGCCATCGCCTCCCTCGACGGGCAATGTTAGCGGATATAGGGTCAGGCTGGAGAAAAGCTAGCGGCGGTCAAACAAAAACTTGGCCTCACCAGTCAATGAAATCCACAACAGTTGGTCTAAGCCACGTAGGAAGGTGTAGACTTCCAGGCTGGGGTCCTCGGGACGGTAAAAATCTATGGTTGGAAACAATTGGTGACATGGCTCAAAATCGTTCTCAGTGGCTAGCGCAGATGCATCCACTCCTTGTGACTTATGATCTCCAATGAAACTGTTTTGCTCTTCGTTATTACTCCTTTGTCTCACACCTCTGCTCACTGTCTCTATTATGCTTTTCTTGTACTTTCTTCTCTTGCTTCGCGTGCTACACGGAGTGTGGCGACTTGAACTACCGCACATTTGTGCAAAGTTCTATGTCGAAAACAGACAGACAGACAGAAACAGTCTCTATACGAAAATACCCATTCAAATGGCCATGAATGCACTGAAAGAGAAACTAAAAGAAGACAACGGCCTAAAAGGCAATACACAGTTATCCGTAAAAGAGATAATAAAAGGGGCTGAATTCTGTCTGACAACAACATATTTTACATTTGAAGCAAAAATATGTCAACAAAATGAAAGAGTAGCCATGGGATCAACCATCTCACCAATAACAGCTGACATATTCATGGACTTTTGGGAAGAGAATGAACTTTAACCATTCGGGCTATCAATAAAATGTTGTTAGAGATACGCACACAACGCGCTAGTAATAATGATGAAAAAAACGATGTCGAAAAATTCTTCTCGCACATAGACAGCCATGTCGACTCAATAAAATTCACTATGTAAACAGAGAAGGAAATTGGGGAACTGCCTATGTTAGACTGCAAAATACAAACGGTAACAGATGGTAGCATAAAAACGACGCTATATAGAAAAACTACACCTACTGGAAGATTCCTTGATTGTCACTCAGCTCATCCACTCACGGTAAAACGAGGATTAATACAAGATTTTGCAGGTAGAATACGTAGACTTACAACAATACCAGCTGACCAGCGAAAAGAAATAAATGTCCTAATCAAAATGTTACTCGACAACAACTACCCAAAAGAATTTATCAGAGATAATATAGAAAAGAGGGTAAAACCAGAGTATGAAAAGAAGAAGGAGGGCAAGAAAACAGTCACAATACCATAAAAACATGGCACACCAGAGGTAGTTCGAAGAAAACTCAAAATTATTGGGATTCGCACTACGTCTAAACCGATGAATCTAATTTTAAAAAAAAATTTATCAACTGAATGATCCAATAAAAATGATAGATAAAAACAGTGCAATCTACAAAGAGATATCTTGTGCCGAGTGTCCGACTAAATATGTGGGTCAAACGTCCAGATCACTCAAAATAAAAGTGAATGAACATAAACGTCTAACTCTAAAGGTCAACCAACAGGAACACAAGCTTACAAGAATTTAGAAAAAATCTATAGCTGCACATGCATGGGACAAAAATCGCAATTTCGATTGGAACAATGTTTGTATGCTAAAAACTAATATGAACAAATGGAAAGAGAGACTTATAACAGAATCGATATTCATTAAAGTCACACCGGATACATGTAACAAGGGTGAATCAGCAGTACAACTGTCAACAACTTGGAATATAATTCTGAATACAAAACATGAATGAGCAAAAAAATAGTGAACTACATATTTGAGTACAAATCATAAATGTGTCAATTAAAAAACAAAACAATTCCAACAGTTGGTGTGAACACGGGCAGTAATTTTCCTCGAAATATTACCAAAAATCAAAAAACTTATCATTGTGTGTAAAACATTGAAATATAATTATACTTGATTGAATGTACAATCAAATGTTTTCATACACAAGCTATTGTTATATAATTCAACATAGCAATCAAGACAGACTAAAGGAGATAATAATTTTCAACTTGATAACAAATTCTGAGGGTACGAATATAATTTACAAAGGGCATAGTAACAGAACTGCACAAGATTAGCAAATGGTTTTGTGACATGTAAGGTAGTTTTCAACGAAGACAAATGTGAAACGGAGCATATAAACAAACTGAAATATTAGTTTCTATAACTGGAGATAAAATAATGAAGACAGCGAAAAAGACAACTAGGAAATCAAACAAAACTAGATCCATGGACTAGTTTCTTTTGAACACATAGTTCCGACTTTTCGATGCATATGCCGAAGGCTTCTATAGGAAAAAGAGTGACGAGTCGGAATCACACTGCCTTTGGTAGATTTTTGTCCATTTTGTAAATGTTGAGTGAGTTAAAATGCTGTGACGAGATGTTTAATTATGGAGTCTTTGATTGAACCAGTGCCTCCTCTTCACAACCACGCTTGGTCGCGTTCCCTAACACGTTTCGAAAGGACATGCGTAGAACGACCTATGTACTTAACTCCACAGGAGTTGAAAATTACTACCTCCTTCAATCTCCTTTCGTTACTATGTTAACTTAAATAATACTTGTAACTATGTAAACTTAAGTATAAAAATATGATTGTACAGCTTTTGAAGATGACGTCCTCCAAAAATATCTTTGCCGAGCTTCTTGTTCTTTTCAACCACGTTTTATCGGAATACTTGCAAAATCCAAAGAAATATCAATGAATAAAAAGTGGTAACAATACTACTCACTCACTTATCATGTCTGCAAAGATTGCGAATACGTCCAGAAATAGACTCTGGTGTATTCGAGGGAGATAGTGCGGTCATATGGTGTTCGAGTTCTTCACGTTCCATCTGTTTTAAGTTAACCTAATTATTTTTTAAAAGAGAAAGAGTAGCGCTGTTGAACTGGTTAGTGAGGCAATTATTTTTTATAAAGAAGGACTAAGGTAACTCAAGTTTGTACTTCATTCCACCAAAAGTTACACGTAACCGTGGTATGGAGCAACATGAGGACAATTTCAAAACTCGTGATGCGATTTGTAGTAGATGTTTCAACCATTAAGTTGTATGACACAATATGGTAAGAATCCTACAGTTAAGTCTAATACACTTAAGTGATATCTAATCTACTCATCTATCTCGTTAAAACTCGGTTACCCAGCCTAAACTATAATTTTACTTATCATTAAGACGCAAACTTGGTACATTATAGGCACAAAGAGATGCAGCACACAAAATCTCATAGTTTGAGCAAGGGTTGAGATACTGCCCGGATAACAAGACCGAAGCAGATGGTTATCTTCAGAGACCACCCTCACCTTCGAGACTTTGACTTGAAGTTTGACTCACAAGGCAGTGGAGCAGAGGTAGTAGCAACGTTACCGTGGTTGACGGTGACCAAAACACGTTCATACGCCATTCCATTATTCTGAATTCTGGAGCCCAGATGTTTGGAACCAGGGTTTTTCTAGCTCGCCTAAGTAAGTAGACCTCCATGTCCACCGGTCTGGTTGTAAGCACCAGACGTTCGCATTCGCCTTTTCACCTTTATGAAGAAAAAGCCCCGCTGCATGAGAGTAGTAAACAGGACTTAAATGGAAGAGGCGTAGCTACATGACAGCACTTCAAGAGGGAGGCCAAATTATGTCCACTTTCGATAGTACCAGGTGGTTTGTGGGACCTAGTCACATCTATTTTGTGAAGACTGATGATACTACTTGGTTGCTTCGACTGAAGTAGGTGCAGTGGGATTCGAATTCACTTGGTTGAAATTCATGTGCCACACCATCTCAAACGTGCTATTGACAAATATACGTAACCAAGATCATGTTTTAAATTCAGATCAAAGAAAGCACCATAACATTTAAAAGCAGCTGACTACTGGCTGACAATAAACACTGTGACAGTATGCAATTTAATATAATAATTATGAACAATAAATTGTATTCCAAGAATTATGCAGCAGATAATGTGGAATAACTTAGATTTTGAACAAGTGTTCATAGGATCGATCTGTCACAATTCATTCAATTACACAGAAAAGAGAAGAACATAAAAGCGATGATACTATGATACATATGCGAGTGAAGCAGACGTTAATGAAATGAAGACGAGAAAAAGAGAATACAACTTCCATATTGTGAAGAATGTTCAGCTATATCGTTAATAGTCACCAACTAAAAATTCTCAGCATTTTGTGACCCCCAAACAAAAAGTTAACACCAAGTCAGGTGCCCTCACTTGACAGTCGGTGATTGCATGGATTGATGAGATGTTTTGATTTGATCATCTATAACTCCTTTGTAACCTATTTCAACCTCAGAAAATATCGCTCACAAAGAGTGATGACTCTGCATGCATAAGACAGCCACCGTCATCAATAAAGATTCATTGCCTTGTTGATCGACTCATTTTTACCACCTAGTAAACACTACATTTGACGATGCTATCGCTTAATGTGAGCGAATGAGAGGAGATACTAGTGATCGTATGTTCCACGACTCACGTCGTCAAGTAGGATAAGTGAATTGCTTCATTGAATCCATGTATGTATAATTTTCCTTGATGGCAGCTTTGGGGCATAAAGAGTCGGTGATCTCGAAAAGCGGCTGGTGTGCGTGTGTGTACAAGTCACGCCAAAAACAAAAGAACTTCAACACATCTGTATAAACACTTACACAACTGTATATTAATATGCCACTTTTCACAATGAATTACCTGTTGATTGATATCCAAAAAGTTGACGTAGGCAGCCTCTTGAGAAGTAATGAACAATAAAGCGCTACCTTGAATTCCACATCGTGCAGTCCGACCACAACGATGCACAAATGCACTGAAATTTAATACGAATAGATAAAGATGCAATGCAGTAGGAACAGATATCTAAAGGCAAATTTTAATAATAAAATAAGTATTCCAATTGCAGTTTGCAGGGATCACGAAATAACACGAGTTAGAGAACTACTGAAAACTAGAGAGCACCAGACATGTTTCATCCCAGTTCGGGACCCCCGATCAGTGCGCACACACCACTAGACCATGAATCAAACATAGGACCTTTAGGTTGGAAGGCATGCCCACTAACCACTAGGTAACTGATACGGAATCCGATGGCCAGCCAATGAATTCTGCTAATTTGTAACGTATGACGCAACTGCCACCCAATGTCATCTGCAAGTATTCGTCTTCACACGTAACTAAATGGACCCCACTGACCACAACTCATTAGAACTCCATTATGTAGTCAGTCACTAGAGTTGAGTCTCCGTTGCGATCACGGGTACGCAGTAGTGAGAAGTGCCAAGCCAGGATAAAACACCAGACCAATACTCTCTGCCTTAAGATAATTCTCTAACAGAAGTTGGGTCGTCACCTGTCTAGAAAACAAAAGGTTACATTCAGCAGTGATATTTATTATTATATTATTATTATTTCCTTTATTTCCTAGAGGAACATAGGGCTTCAGCCGCGCGTCTCCATTGCCTTCGGTTCTCTGCTAGGGTTTTCACCCCACTCCAAGTCTGTCGACATGCGTTCATCTCCTCTTTACATGACCTCCTCCAAGTCACCCTTGGACGACAAACTCACAGCTTCCCTTTTGGGTTCCACTCGACGGCTTGTCTAGTGATGTCACTTGATGGTTTCCCCAGAATATAGCCAGCCAATCCATCTCCATTTCTCCCTGCCTATTTGTTGCACAGTCGGTTCCTCGTTGGTTCTCTCATTGCCAGAGATTCCTCCTTTGGGCTGATCTTTTCTGGTCATCTGATCTTGAGCGAAGACAGCTGTTGACGAAGGTCTGTAGTTTGTTCGAAGTGCCCTTTGTGACGCGCCAAGTCTCTGATCCGTATAGTAAATAGCACTGACTTCACATCAGAGTTGAAAATCCGGATCTTATTTTCCGTGCTGAGTACTGTCGACGTCCACACAGACTTGAAACTAATGAAAGCCTGCCTTGCTTTTCTGATTCTGGCTTTGATATCCCCGTCAGTTCAGCCTGTAGTTGAAACGATGCTTCCCAGGTAGGTGAAGGAGGCTGTTTCTTTCAGGTTCCTCATATTTAAGCTGTTTGTTGTCTGTTGTTGTTGTTGCTGATGATGTTGGTCAGGAATCTTCATCACCTCTGTTTTATCTATGTTCACCTGAAGTCCTATCTTCTCTGGATGCTTCTTCTGCCAACTTGCTGCTTTTCACTTGCATATCTTCCAGTTCGTGGGAAATCAGACATATATCATCGGCGAAGTCCAGATCCTACAAGTTTATGTGTGAGTCCATTTTATGCCTGTCTCCTCATCGCCCTTTGTCCGTCACATTATCTAATCTACTGCAATCAGGAAGGTCATTGGCGATAGTAGACAGCCTTGTCTCACCCCCGTCTTCACTTCGAAGGATTCCGTAAGTTTCCCGTTGTGGAGTACTTCGCATGCAGTATTGTCGTATAACTGTTGGATGAGATGTATAATTGTCGATGGGACCCCGTGGTAGCGAATTAGTCGCCAAATCACCTCTCGATCGACGCTGCGCTATCGAAGGCCTTTTCAAAGTCGATGAAGTTGAGTGAGTTGGAGAGGCGACTTCCATTCCAAGCTTTGTTCAACGATGATCCGTAGTGTGGCGATTTGATCAATACATGACTTGTTTCTCCTGAATCCAGCCTGTCCCGGTCAAAGTTTTTCATCCAGGGCTTGTTTGATTCTCTCCGGGATGATGCGGCTTAGTATTTTGCTTGGGATGGACAGGAGCGTAATTCCACGCCAGTTTTTGCGTTGACTTAAGTCTCCTTTCTTTGGCAGTTTGAATATGTAGTCTTTCTTCCAATCCTCGGGTACTTTGCCCTCTTTCCACACCTTCTCCAGTAGTGGCCTCATCAAGTCCGCTGTTATCTCTGGATCAATTTTCAATGAGGTGATATACACAAGATAAATTAACCAGCATATCCTTACAATCCATGACCCCAACGATGTCTTGTTGACCCACAACCTTGGCCTAGAAATCAATGTCTTGGTTTGAAGTTTTTAGCTTCGGCTGGTAGGATTACAAGAAGCGAATTAGCCTCCAGTTCTAATGATTAGTTTGAACAAAGCAAGAACGAATATATATGTTTGCAGGATGAGAAGGTCATCCTTTTATTTAACGGCTTTTCTTTAGCTGCTAACAGTCTAAAATTAACGTGACTTTTTATCATAAATTCGGACAGATAACAATGAGATTACTAGCTTCACAAACAACCTTCCTTCTTTTCCGGGCTTACTATCAGATAGCCGAATTCAGTAGTGCATCGGCCAGAAATCAAAACCGGGCCTACTGAATGACTGGCGAACATCCTATCATGTCGCAAATGCGCACAGTCTGGAAATCGTACAACTTTGAATGTGACTTATTAGCTGAATGATAGTGTATTCTTCTCAAAACCTGACGGTTGACAGGAGTGAGTTAGAACTGATATAGTGTTTTAACGTGCGGAGAACAGCCCTCCTGTAACTCTTTACTTTCAACTATTTTCCAGCTTATTATATCTGATAATGATATCTGTCAGCTGCATAGTCACAAACCCAGCCACAGAAGTTCTGATTTGGTTTATTGACTCTTGGTTTCAGTGAAGTGGGTGATTACAGGTAGCCTAGTTGAGTGAATTCGGAATGCTAAGAACCAACAGTTGGTTCAAAATCGTTTATGATAGTGCAGATGTTGTCATTTCTCTTCCCTTAGAATATAAAAAGAGGTAAGAAGAACACACATAGAATTTAACTTACTTCGCATTAGTTGGCGGATCACACTGAATAACCCAGTCAATATGTGGTACATCAATACCTCGTGCCATTACATCAGTACATAATAAAATTCCACTATAAGAGAGAAATAGATATTAACGAAAAATGACAATATTCTACATTAAGACACAGTTGGTGAACTTCTAAACAGCAGAATTATTAGACTTCAAAAATGAGTAAATCATAAGCAACTATATATATCATCACTGGGAGAAGCACAGAATGGCAATCAAATCTCTATCTTAACTTCACCGACTTCGAATAGGTGTTCGGCAGCAACTTGGAAACTACCTCAGCACTACGAAGTACAGTACCCCAAATCTTGATCAACCTTACTCAACAGCTATATGACTATGTCACATGTCAGGTGATCCACAATGGAAAACTCAACGAAGCCTTTGGAGTGAAGACGGAGAAAAGACAAAGCCATTTACTATCACCAGTGATATTCCTGACTGTGGCGACTGCATCATTCAGCAGACCATGGGGAGCAAGAAGACAGGAATACGTTGGACCGATAAGAAGGCTCCAGAAAATCTGGACATTAAGGGAGATATATCTCCAATATCGGATACACAGGAAGACCTATAGGAAAACAAAAAATAAGCTGGAAGAAAAGGCTGCAGAGATACGAATTCAGGTGAACAAAGACAAGACAGAGGTGCTGAAAATACCTAACTACCAACAACAAGCACCAATCGCTTATCTAGGCAGCATAGTTCCAACTACACGCAGCACGGATTAAGATGTCAAAGTTAGGATCGGAAAAAAATGCAGACTTTCATTTGATCTCAAATCAGTCTGGAAACCTACTGCACTAAGCATAAAGAACAAGAATCGGATTTCCAACACTAATGTTTAGAGACTTATCGCGCCACCAAAACTCATTCCAACAGGCTACTGCAGTTTTCCCTCGTCCCTTCCCATTTAGCTCGATACTTAAGATCACGTAACCGGAAAGGATTAGCAATAAAAAACTCTGGTAAACGATGAACCCATAAGGATCTTATTGCCCAAAAGAAAGATATGGAGATGAAGTACACACATCTTCATTTGAGAAATGAAAAAACTCTAGCATTTCATTTCTAGACGTTCTTATGACTAGGAAAGAGGATGGCACAATGAGAAGTGTATGTAAAAACCTACATCAACGGGTCAGTATACTCATTTATTCAGCTTCGTGCCCTTAAAATACAAACGCAACCCGATAAAGTGCTTGGTTCACAGAGCAAGAGCAATCTGCTCGGATGAATGTCTTGATGAGGAACTTAATAATATTAAACGGTTGCTAGGTGGAAGTGGTTAACTGCTCCTGTGGAGCCAGTTATATAGGTCGTACAATTAGTCGTGTTTCTCATCGAACTTCCAAACATCACCCTGTGTGGTTAAGTAAAAGACAAACCAAAATCTATTCGTAGTGCTATTCCATATCATCTTGTGGATATAGAACACAAGATTGATGTTAACCAGGCTTTCAGGGTCATTTATCTGATACCAAAAAATTTCAATTTCGCCTTAAGAGTTCGACCACTAAAAATTGTTGAGGCTGTTGGAAGCCATATTAAGAAGCCTAAATTGTGCGTCCAAAAGACGTTGGTTCAGACATTATCCATACCTTGGTCATCTAGGTTTGAATGATCCTGAATTTTAGTTGGTATTCTATTTGCTACTATATCTTTATTATTTTTATTATATATGCATCTTTGATGAACTGTAATTCCATTGATCTTACTTTACAAATCGATATTATTTATAAACTACTAATACTATGAGTATATTAAATATTATAATTTAGACTTAAACCAAAATCTTATATTCTATTCTTATAAAGTTTCTAGAGGTCATTTTCCAATTTTTAATTCCATAAAACAGCGTTCATTTTCAGACTGCACTTGTCTAATCTGATCATGCCTGTACAAACGGTATGTGAATCATGTAAATGCTTAATTTATGTGAAATATATATATTATTATTATTACATTATTAATATTGACATTGGCTACTAATCTACAATATTCTTTCTCTCTCTCTCTCTCTCTCTCTCTCTTATATATATATATATATATATATATATATATATATATATATATATATATATATATATGAGTAGAGCCAGTAGAGGAAATTATCGAAAATGATATTCTTTGCTCAATTATTTAGTGTTTTATTGATGTCTGAATAAATATTTTCGCTATATTGATTGAATTCAGTCTGCACCAAAGAAAGGACTAGATGCGTCGCACTAGTTACCAGTGTCCAGTCAAAATATCTACTACAGCCCTACAGGTTAATCGCGAGCCCCAATAGCTCAATGGTAACGTCTTTGACTGTAGCACCGGGTGATGCGGGTTCGAATCTCAGAAGGGACATGGGTTCATTCAAGGTTGCAGATACGCCTTGCTAACGGGTGCCAACTAGCATGAAACCTAGGTCCAATGGTTCCTGCCGATCGCCTCCAACTATCTAATATCATCGAATCAATGTGCACCGTGATGTTTAACTTCATCATAGATATGCTAATGGAAGTATCCTTAACTGAACGTAGTGACTTAGGAATCGACTTGTTACCAGGGAATAATCTAATGGACTTAGAATATGCAGATGACATAGTCCTGTTAGGGGAGGATGCTGACAAAATGCAGAGTCTTCTGAACACCTTGAGCAGCAATCTTCGTATGTTTGGCATGCGATTCGCCCCTGTAAAATGTAAGATGCTGCTACAGGACTGGACCACGTCAACCCCTAACTTAGTGATAGGGAGTGAAGTGATAGAACATGTTGACCACTTCACCTACTTGGGAAGTTGTATTAGCACCAACGGACTGATTGGCGATGAAATCTTAGCACGGATCCGAAAAGCTCGAGCTGCTTTCGCTGACTTACACCATCTCTGGCGTAGGCGTGACATCCGGTTATCAACCAAGGGACGTGTGTACTGCTCAGCAGTTCGCTCCGTCCTTCTCTATGGCTCTGAAACATGGCCAATACGCGTTGAAGACATGAAAAGGTTGAGTGCTTTCGATCATAGATGTCTGCGATCTCTGTCTCACGTTAGGTGGTTTCACAAGATAAGTAATGTTGATGTTAGGCGTAGAGTGTTGGGCAAAGAGGGAAAATCAATCGACGAGGCTATAAAGTTACATAGACTAAGATGGCTAGGTCACGTGCTGCGCATGCCTAACCACCGCCTCCCCCGACGGGCTTTGCTAGCTGATATAGGTTCAGGTTGGAAAAGAGCCAGTGGTGGCCAAACAAAAACATGCCATCAATCCATGAAATCCTTGACAGTTAAACTGAGTCAGGTAGGGAGATGCAGACTCCCGGGTTGGGGCCCTCGGGACTCTAGGAATCAATGGCTGGAGACAATAGGTGACATGGCTCAAAATCGTTGTCAATGGCCAGCGCAGATGTATTCAGTCTCTGTAATCTTTCATATTCCTTTCTACCATTACCCATTCTGTTTCACTCTTATACTTGTCAAACTCTATTAATTCTCTTCACTCATCTTCTTGTCTACCTCTGTGGGGTATTTGGAACGTGGCAACTCGAACTGCTGCACTTCGGTGCCAAGTTCTATGTTGAATCCAGACAGACAGACAGCACCGTGATGGCGAGCTAACTAGAATGGTGGCCACATTGCAAACCTGACTGATAGAATTCAGTCTACACCAAAGAAAGGACAAGACACATCGCACTAGTTACTAGTGTCCAATCATAATAATACCTTATTATACTTCGAATAAATAATGCTCTGCATGAATATCGTGTTAAAGTACATTTCCTTATTACTTACTGAAGTTCATATTTATTATTTACTCTATACATATGGAGTGGAACACAGGACTTTAGCAGCACATCTTCATTCCACTCGGTTCTCTGCAACCACTCTGAATCGGCGCCAAGACTGCCCACAAGCTTTTAATTCCTCTCCATACGATCTTCTCCACGCCACTCTTGAACACCCAATATGTCAGTTCCCAATCAGGTTTCACTCGAGATCTTGGAGTGTGATGCCACTTGGATGTCTCCTCAGAGTATGTCCAAACCACCACCATTCCCCTTTGCATATTTTTCGGGCAGTAGTTTGCAAGCTGGCTCACTGTCCGTTTGTTAGAGTTCCTTGTTGGCTTATCTTTTCCGACCAGGCATCTGATCTTCAGTACCGAGCGAAGAAAAATGTTGGCGAAAGTCTGCAGTGAGCTGTTGGAGATGCCTTCAGTGATGTGTCTAGTCTCCTAACCATTTTCTCTAGCACTGATTTGACATTAATTTTAATAATTCGGACCTTTTACCTTGTGCTAAGTACTGTAGATCTTCAAACTAACACACGGGACAGAAATGACAAAACTATTTGTTAATCGAATACTCGCACTTTTGTAGTGCATGCATGAAACCGTAGTTATACCAGTCGAAAGTGCAGAGTAGTGGAAGCCACAGATGCACACTTTATCCTGTTCGGGATTTTTTGAAATTTGATGTAGTTATATCTTGGCAGTAAGACTAAATACGAGAATTTATTATTTCGAACATAAAACAGGGATATCCATCGGTTTTCTATTCCAACCAAGATCACACTATAGATACTAATCAGGAGTAAATACAAGGAATCTGCATGCCTGATAACGATAAAAATTCCAACGGAAGGTTGACACCGAGAAGTCCTTCAGATGACACGAAGTACGAAGCGATGAGTACTGGGCTACACACCCAGTGAGAAAATCAATACACATATTTTGACGTATGTATATACCTCACGTTAAGGAGTTTTCAGTTCTACTGGCTGAAAACATTACAGTGAAACCAATGGTGTTAAGATGTTAACAAAAGGAGTTAACAAACTAACGTTAATCGATCTCTATGGAATTCAATTGACGTCTACAAACCTTAGATTCAAAGACAAACCATAGGGATAAGCAAAATTTTAAAAAGAATCTGGACATTACAAAGGCTTTAAAAGATAGCACGATTAAATGATCTGAGAGTTTCATTGCTTTCCTGATTTCACTGTTTTATCCAAAGAGCTCTCGTCGTCTGTCCTGGTGTCATCACTGAGTTTTTATATTGAAGTAAAGTGA